GTCTCTTATCGCATCTGAAGGAGATTGACCCCACGGAGAAGGACCTGGGTTCTCTGAAGACTCACGATTTTTCATAAACAAATCAGAAACACAGTTGGGGGTAAGATACAGGAGACATACAGGACAGAAGGAAAAGTAGGAGCACGCAAAAAACGAGATGGATAATTGATATGTTTCTTTAGCTGAAGGAGGGTCACCAACTCAGAGACTGACCACTGGACTGGCCTCCTGCTGGGACTCTGAGGGGCACAGGGACTGGCCTCCTGCTGGGACTCTGAGGGGCACAAGGACTGGCCTCCTGCTGGGACTCTGAGGAGCACAGGGACTGGCCTCCTGCTGGGACTCTGAGGAGCACAGGGACTGGCCTCCTGCTGGGACTCTGAGGGGCACAAGGACTGGCCTCCTGCTGGGACTCTGAGGAGCACAGGGACTGGCCTCCTGCTAGGACTCTGAGCGGCTGGTCCCAGAGTCAGGACTGAACATGGGGAGGCAGTGTTTCAGATTTATGCTTTCAGAATCTAGATTATAATAATAATCATAATCGTGTGAGAGGCAGCATCTCTGGGAATGTCTAAATCTAAGGCTAATGACTAAAGCGTGTGACTTTACTATTTTAAGTAATTCAAAAACCCAGTGGGAAGAAAATACTACTGGATGACACAAAGGTGCAACAAAATATAAAACAAATCTGTAAATACAAATGATTAGTGTTTGTTGCCAGGTACCAGAGACAAGTAACAATAATTATAATAATAAGGTATGGTTTCTTATAGTGCTTTGTGGACATTTGCATTATTCATTCACTCCATACACGGTGTGAGAAAAACTCTTGTAGCCACAGCTGCCCTGGGGCAAACTGACAGAAGTGAGCACACGTTTTGACAGAAGTGTAAACGTCAGCAGAGATGCGACTATATGAAAAACCATCCAAAATGCGTCTGCAGCAACACATCGGTCGCACAACCTGGTTATTTGAATGGAATGTACGTATCCTAATTTCTTTCCCACGCTGCGCACTCTGAGGAGAATCCCAAGAGACGCAATTACTGAGCCCCGTACAGTCACACAGGAATATGGCGAACACACTCAATTTAAAGAGATTTGGGCAAAAGGGAAGCAAAACGTTGCCTCATTAAAAGAGGATTTTATCTCAAACAAGTTTAACAAATGAATGAGGTCACGGCAAAACAACAACGTTCTTATAGAAAAGTGTGGAAAAGTGCTAAACAGTTCACTTGTGTTTTTCTAATTGAATAATAGCAGCAGTTTAATTATTGATTTTATCACAAAGTTTCCCAAAGTTTTCCAAAGTTTCCGGTCCTGTAATAGTATGATGTCATCGTACCACCGTGACAATACCCTTAGAGCAGTGTTCAGTCTTCTAAATGTATTTAATTATTGTGTATGTGGTTGAGACAGTGCATATTATTGTACACACGGCTAATTTGCGTCCGTTGTTCCGCAGTTGACCGTGAACTATTGTACATATTGTTAGTGGTAGGGGAAAGCTGAGCACCTGGAGGAAACCTCCGCAGACAGGTGGAGAACATGCAAACTCCACTCAGAGATAAGATGAGATGAGATTAGACTTTATTATCTCACAATGGAGAAAGTCAGTTTGATGAAAAAACATCAAGGCAAGCTGCGTACACCATCCATCCATCCATCCATTTTTTACCCTTTAATCCATTTCTGGGTCAGGGGGGTGGCAGTCAGAGATGCCACCCAAGTCTCATAGCACCAGCCCCTCACTGACTCTCTGGTGAGTCCACAGGAGGACGGCTGCTCTCTGAGTGTGAGCATAGCCTTGATCTTTCAGTGGGGGCTTTGGGCAAAGTGGGGTTAAGTGTGAATTGAACCCACAACCTTCAGACCTGAAGGCCAATGCTCTACCAACTGAGCTGACCTGAATGGCCCTGTTCCAACCAGGATTCTAACCAAGAAATCGTCTTACTGAGGAGCGATTCACTCAGCCAATGTGCCGCTCTACACACGGCTCAACAAAATAAGTTTTGGCAATTTCTCAAGTGAAATTACATCAATAAATTGGTAAATTTGTAAATTTGTAGATGTCTCCAGTGTTCGATCAATAAAGCCTATCTTATCTTATCTTAATAATAATGCAGTTAATCAGTTGTTCTTTAAATCTAACATTTTATCCATTTTTATACCATGTCATAGCACTTATTTTATGGCTCTGAATGAATAAAGTATTAAAACATGTGTCTTATATCTGAGTGGACAATATGATATTAAATATACATATTTCACCAGAGAATGTAAAGTATTATAATTTTATATTTCCATAGAAACAGGCTTTTCTACCTTCCGAAAGTAGGCACATTTCCACCAATGAAAAAAATAAATACACAATAATATCAAATGAATAGACAAATAAATGAGTAAATGTTTGTGAATTGTTTGATTAATATTATTTTCAATTGTATTCATTTAATGGTTTATTTAATTCATTCTTATAAAGTGTCTTGATATTTTTACATGTAGAACTCAGAATCCTCCAAAAATAGCCATTCGGATAATAAGACTGCTATGTACTCTAGTTAATTTTAATACTTTAAAGACATATTACTGTTGGTTTTTAGTACAAATTTTTCCATGTTTGTGTTGTTTTCAAATTGTAGTAAACTAAACTAACTTAGCCTTGCCTTTATACTTATGCCTTAGACTCATTCACACCTTGAGGAAAAGTACTTGCAGTAATTACACGACTGGGCAAAAACTGTCATTTCTGAATCAAAATTGTTAAAATCCCTCCTGTTTTGTTTGAAGACTCATGGTTTGGCCTCATGAAACAGATGTTATAGCTCAGTGGTTTGGCCTTTCGCTGGATACAGAGCGCAGCAATGATCGAATCTGATGAATGGAAACCTAATCCAATCCGACTGGAATATCAATCCTGCCGCAGCACTTAAAGCGTTTTAATTACCAGCGTTTAGTTTCCCAACAGTCGCAAACAGACAAATGAGACATGAGCCGGATCTGCTGAGAAGACTGAGATGACGGAGAGACAGTAGAAGAAGAGTTAACAAGGTCGAAGGTCGCAAAGAATCAGCGTATCCTCCGAGTTTAAAGTGGTCTGCATAATGTATCTATTTTAAGCATTTTCCTTTTTAAATCATTGGCTGTTTGGATGAGAGACATTTCCATTAAATACAGTATATCATATAGAAGAAAAACACAGTGAAATAAATGTACGGAAAGTGTGCAAGAATTATTGAAACCAAGTTAGGCGTGAGCATCGATTCAGGCACCACAAAAGAAAAAGTAACTCAATATTCCTATAGCTACCAATTAGAGTCTGGATTCTGGTGGAAGGTATTTTGGACCATTCTTCTTTGCCGATCATCTGTAGTTCAAAAATGTTCAGGTCTGGGGACTGAGATGGCCATTCCAGATTGTTGTACTGTAGACTTGTATAACTCTCGTTTTCTCTGTTGTTTCATGTGTTTTAAAGGAGACACTTTTTGCAAAATCTCCATTGAGTTTTTAACCATGTCACAACATTGTTCGCTCATCAAAAACAGATATTAGTTTTTCATTTGCTGATGCAGGAGGGTGTAAGGACGTGATGATCCAGGTAATCAATACACATTTATTAACATTTCCAGACATTGGTCATACCGCTGCCTTATGGACCAACGGCTCCAATGTGTTTGTTTTTTTGAAGAAAAGGGGAAATCCGAGGCACACTTGACAGAAAATATAAATCTTTAAATGAACAGTCAATATATATGTTTTTAACTTGCACTTTTTATTGTTCTGTATTTTAATATGTATGTTATTGTAAGGACTACAGATGGAAAGTAGCATGGTGTGAAATCAGGTGCAGCCATCTTTTTAATGTAACTGCACGTTGTCCTTAAGAAACTAAACTTAAACAGGGATTAAAGGCGTTTTGGCTGTGACAATCGACCTATATTGTCGTTTGTGTGTGAAGATGTGTTGGTTTTGGCCACTGCTGATCCTGATGAGACTGACCCACTGTAGCGCTCATCTCTCTTGAACTTGTGTTTGTTTTAGTACGGCATTTCCTGTGTTCGAACTGTTTGAATCTCTAATCCGTTGTTGAACCACAAAGCCTAAGTCCTGGATCTTCAGCCCGGAAGTGGATCTCTCTCTCTCAATTTGGGCCTCGCTGATGTTTCCCACTCTCTTTTTTGAGTTGTTTTTTTCCTGATTTCTCTGTTTATAGTAAGGCAAGTTAAGGCAAGTTTATTTGTATAGCACAATTCATACACAAGGCAACTCAAAGTGCTGAACAAGATAGCATTAAAATCATAAATATTCACAGAACATTAAAACGAAAGATAAAAATATAAAATCCCTCAGTTGTATGCACAGCCAAACAGAACCGTTTTTAACTTGGTTTTAAACATTGTCAGAGAGGAGGCCTGTCTCACATCTTCAGGAAGATTGTTCCAGATTTTAGCAGCATGAATCTGAAAAGCAGCCTCCCCATGTTTAGTTCTGACTCTGGGCACTAACAGGAGTCCAGTCCCTGTGCTCCTCAGAGTCCGGGCTAGTGAGAGACAAATGCTTAAAAAAGAACAATTATAAAGCGTTTTGTGATTCTGGTCTGTGGAAGGCACTATATGAATGAAGATTACTTACTTACTTACTTGACTCCTATGTGTGTGTTACAGTAATATTGTATGTTCTGTGTTTGAACAGTGTCTGATTCTCTGATCTGTTGTCAGTGAATCAACAACCCAGTAAAGTCCCCTGAGACCACTGCTGTTCTGATTTAGGTCTATGCAAAAAATAAATGGAACAGATTGTTAAACACATTTTAGTGGGAAACAGCTGCATGTGCACTATTCTCCTCTTGCTCCAGCTGGCATTGTTTTAAATGGTGGTTCTGGCCGGTCAGGCTCACACTGGGATGAATTTGCAGTTAACTGGACCTCATTCCCTGGAAGAATTCTGCTGAGTCTTCCTAAATGTTTATTTATTTATTTATTTTTTTGTCTTGTTTGCAGTCCCAGCTCCATGATGAGGAGAAGAGGGCGCTCGGCCGAGAGATCATCGTCCTCAACAACCACCTGATGGAGGCCAAGATCACCATCAACAAACTGAGAGAGGACAATGTGAGTGTGCAGACATCAATACATCTACACGCTGTTCTTAACACAGAGAGAGAGATAGATAGATAGATAGATAGAAATGGAGTGATAGAAATATAGATAAGATAGTCAGATGAAGAGAGAGAGAGACTCATGGGATAAATTATTTCTTCCTGCAGTAGAAACACATATTCATCCATACAAACACAACAACACTGGGATGTTTTTTTTGTAAATGAGCATTCCTCCCGTCGATTTTCCGTGGATTCTCTCTGCTCTGGTCTTGATCAGTGTTAAACCATGAACGATGTACTACAGTAACATTTACAGGTAGAATAAAGCAAGAAAAAGAACTATATTAAAGCCCAAAACAACAATTGTTTCAGCGCAACTTTTAGGACTTGCTTCCATTTCCAGCGCATTTAAAAGTATAGTTCAGGGGCATAGTTCAAAGTTTTGAAAAAGATCTTCCCGATGCGGCTGCATAGCTGGTCACTACAGGCTGGGAAATTTAGACCATGATGCATTGCAAGCGTCAACAACAGACTATCAGTGATTATGAGAAGCTTTTTTCTCGTTCTGCGTTTGTAGGAATTCAGCTTCAAATCACTTTGCCCTATCAAAGTCAATCTTTCCACTTGTTTTTCTTTTGCGCATATCAGGACACACTGTAATAATAATAATAATAATAGATTTTATTTATAACGCACGTTTCATATGCAAAGCACATCTCAAGGTGCTACATCAGAATAAAAACACATATATACAAATGTTAAAATACATTAAAACATGGGCTGCAGATCAGCAGTAGGCCTTCCTGAATAGCTCCGTTTTCAGGTGCTTTTTGAAGTACTCCACAGACTGTGGCGCCCGCAGGTCTTGGGGCAGGGCGTTCCACAGGCGTGGTGATGCGGCTGAAAAAGTCCTGTCTCCCATGGAGTGAAGGCGTGTGATTGGCTGACTGAGACGGTGGGTGTTTGTGGACCGGAGGGATCGTGATGTGGACTGTAGGGTGAGGAGGTCTTGTAAGTACTCTGGGGCGTTGCTGTGGATGCATTGGTGAGTGAGAAGACAGATCTTATATTCAATACGGAGGTGTATGGGGAGCCAGTGGAGTTTACGGAGGACGGGGGTGATGTGCTCGAACTTGCGTGTCCTCGTCAGGACCCTGGCAGCACTGTTCTGAATATGCTGAAGCTTTTGAAGGCTTCTGCCAGGGATCCTGACGAGGAGGGCATTGCAATAGTCCAACCTGGAGGAGACAAAGGCGTGGACCAGCTTCTCAGCATCACAGAGGGAAAGAGAGGGGCGGAGTTTGGCAATGTTTCTTAAGTGAAAGTAAGCAGTTTTGGAGATATGTTGGATGTGTGGATGAAAAGTGAGGTGGGAGTCAAACCTGACACCGAGGTTTGTAACACAGAAGGAGGGGGTGATGGTATGACCAGAGAAATTAATGCAGTTTACAGACAGGGAACGAAGTTGGTGGGGGGTGCCAATTTGTAGAGCCTCTGTTTTAGTGCTGTTTAGCTGGAGAAAGTTTTGAGACATCCACGCCTCTATCTCCTCCAGGCAGGAGGTGAGTGCAGCGGGGGTGGATGAGGGAGAGGCTGGGTCCAGTCTCACATAGAGCTGAGTGTCATCGGCATAGCTGTGGAAGGACATGCCATGCCTGCCGATGACTGTACAAGGCTAGAGCATGTCTTCTGTGTTTTGCATTTTTGGCGTATATAAATGAGCCTTCAAAATATAAACTACAAGATCAAAGAGTGCGTCAGACTTCTCTATGAGCTTCATTGAGCACAGGGTTAGTATTGTCCACCTACAGTATATACAGTCTGTAGTTCCACCTGAAGCCTGACAGCCAACCATACAAAGAAAATAAATGCAACCCTTTTTACTTCATGTGCAGAGGAAAAGTTCAACATTTGGGCTCCATCTTTGGGTAACACTCTACAGAGCAAAGTCTCCTCACTGTCTCTCACACTCTTCTGAAAGCCCTCACATCCCACAGCTAAACCCTCTGTGTCCTGGATATCTGTGTCTGTGAAAGAACCAGGGCAGAGATGAGAGAGCAGGGAGTCAGGAGCCCCCGTCCCAGCAGCCGTGGTGGGTGCGCTGGGGCAAGAGCCAGTTCCAACAAGTTAAAGGACTTAACTTATAGAATACAGCACTGCACTTTTTGCGATATAAAAGAGGGTCCAAGGACAATGGTGATGATCCAGGACACCCAACATTCAACAACATTTATGGACATTGGTCATCGGCTTCTGTGTGTTTTTATTATTGCATTTATTGTGTTGAATTCAGCAAAATATCTTTTTTATGTTGGAAATTGGTTTGAGGTCCATATTGTGCATCTGTGGTTATACGAGGATGTCCAAATAGATAATGATTCTCCAGGACACTTGACATTTATGGAATTTATCAACATTTATGGACATTGGTCGTCCGCCCTTAATGGTCCAATGGCTCTATGTGTTTTTATCAGTACATTTATTGTGTTTGATCTGTTTGATTCTCTGATCTGTCTTGGCAACTTTGTCGGTTTTGTAAAGTTGTGATTTAGGGATAAACAAAAATAAATTGAATTGAGTTCATATTATGACAGGACATGCGTTATTCTTCTAGTACTAGTCACAAGCACTCTTTCAGTCACCTGTCTCTTCATCTCTCTCTCTTCTATTACCACAATTTTACCCATCCACAGTGAAGAGCATCCAACAAAAGCAGCGCATAATTTTCGTGAAAGCTAGTGGATTGGATTAAAGCGTCGCTCTTTCGTTTGAACCATTGCTCTCTCTTTGGATTTGCATCACAATAATGGGTAAAAGTATTACTTGAGATTGCGACACCCCATCTTTGGAGCAATATGAGATGGAATCAACGGTTTCAGGGTTAAATGTGTGGAGTAGGCTCTAATTGGGTCTGGAGTCCTCTTTCCCCCACCACTCTTCTTTCTCATCCTCCTCTCTTTCTTTTTTATTCTTGAGGCTCTCTCCTTGATGGCTGAGCCTGGTCTGGAAGGGCTAGATAAGTAAATAAAGACCCCACATTAAAGCAGGGGACTGTGAATAGTAAAAAACTCGTGAGTATTAGAAGCAGAAGAAGCTCAAGGGGAGTGAGAGGAAAGTCATTAGCTAGAGTCAGTGGTGCGGCTGCAGCAGGTGATACCAGGGGCCGATGAATCTGTGTCCAGGAACAGGCGGAAGACCATTACAAGGAAAACATTTTAACTACAAGCAATTCTGAGTAAACCCTCAAACATCTTTGGTAATGTAGCTGATATCCCAATTTTCAGATTATACTATATGTCTTTTGTCCAATACACTTTCATCTGACCCTACACCTTTCTCCCATCACCTGCTCTATGCTGAGAGGGCTTCACTACTACTTCTTCTTTTTTAACAGTTTTAAAAAATTGTAACAGGTTTGAAGATGATTTGAGAGTTTCTCCTCACGCTGAGATACACTTACTCTATCGTGGAATGAGTTCTGTAAATCGACAAACCAGTCACGTGCATTACCTTGTCCTGCTATGTTGTAATGCTCATTCATTTTCATCCCCTTTAGAAGTCCAATTCTCAGTCTGGGTAGTAAATCGGAGCTGCCACCCAATATTCAGAGCATCGACTCAGTGAGTCCAATGGCCGCTCCGTCAACATAGACACAGCCTTGGAGTTTGAATGAGGGGCTTCAGGCAAAGTGGGATTAAGTGTCTTGCTCTAGGACACCACGACAGCAGACATCAGTAGGAGCCGATGACATGGGTCGAGGAGGGATCGAACCTACGCCCGTTAGGTTCAAAGACCAATGCTCTACCAACTGCATTCGCCTGCCTATAGAACTATGTCTGAAAACTAGCTTTGTTGCTATATTCTGGCATATACACATTTCTTTTATACAAATTAAGTGGTGTTCATTACAAGCATTGTCCCTATCAAATAAACAGTTTCATCCATACATTAATCAGCTCATTAGATAATCCCAAGTATAATCAGCCAACTAATCAATGCAATCAAAAAGTCTCATTGTAGCCTTGACTATATGTTTATTGAAGTCAATAATTCCCTTTGACTGACGTATCCAAAGTCGATGCAAGAGCGAGACAAGAGATCTTCACGTTTAACATCTGCATTTAATTATCTTTACAATCAGATACAGAATATTCAACAAAAAGTGCTCCTAAAACTATATATGTCCCTCTCTCCTGGCCCTCGGCTGACTGACTGCCAATCTCCTCCCAGCAGTTTCTATCAAAGGGTCCGATGACGTCACAGTCTGGGACTGGTCTGGCCCCTGGTCTGGACCCGGTCTTCGTCTTCCCTCTCCACCTGAGCAAACAATGCCCCCCACCACTGGGCGCCTGATTGTGTTGGACTTTTGCCCTCGTCCAGAGTGGGAGAGAGCATTTGTTTATTCTTGGAGTCAATAATTGTCTGGTTTTGTAAGCTGGTCATCTCTATGATTCCTGAGTGCATATTCCTTTGTCCTTGGGGCTTTTCCCCGTGCACCTTCTTCAGAGGGCCTATTTTCAAAATCATTAGTATACAACATTTTAATTATGCAACATTATCCACGCTCCAAACCTGCTGCAAATAGTCTGATGAGCTTGTGTCTCCTTTTATGGTTCTGTAAAAGGCCTGGAAACAAAAAGGAAGGTACCAAAGCAGCCATGACTCATCCCTCAAAGACCTCGGGCAGCCCTCTCTCCTCCGCAGGCTGGATTGTCCTCTCCCTGTCACAGCCACATCCATGTAATTCACTGCGGCCTGGTAGCACTTTGATGCCAACCGCCTTATCGTCACACTGTTAAATGGATTTCTCTTTTCTCTTCTCATTTAGAGCCCTGTGTTGTTCTCTCGTTGCAGGACGTGTACAGGAAAGACTGCAACCTGGCGGCACAGCTGCTGCAGTGCTCCAAGTCTCACTACAGGGCGCACAAGATGTCGGAGGTGAGGCCTGCACCGCTGCCCAGACACACATCCTGCACCGTCACCAACACAGACTGGAAGGAGTGGGTGTGGATGGATCCAGCTTTGTCATGTTTTTGTCATTTGTCATTGTAAGAGTTGTCGAGAAATGAAGACAGGGCAGTGGCGATTGTACCTGTAACACGGTTTATTTTCGAGTCCCTTCAGATCGAACAAAAGGCAAGGATTTTTATGACTTGTAAAAACAAGGACAGAGACGTGAGATAAGTGAAATCCTCTAAGTAGTAGCTGTATGTTTTAAGGTACAGCTCACACACACTTTATGCACTTTTCTCAATGTCTGAATTCATGACTGCTGAAGTGAGAGAGGCGGGAGATATCAAACCTGTTGGTTGTAGGTCTGAGTGATGCTGCAGCTGTCAAAAGCCGTGCAAACAGAGTATTATACAGCTGCAGAGGAGGCCATGCTGAGGGGCAAGGAGCAGGACTGAGGGACGGTAAGACTGCGGTCGTCCTCTGAGCTAAATAATCTAGTGTTCACAAGCCATAAAAGTTTACCTCTGACTTTGAATAACGGTCACTGGTCCTCTCTGGTCTTGAAAGAAATTATAATTATTTCAAATCTGTCAAAAGACCAAATGAACAATCGTTCTAACTATTCTCTTTCAGCAAAGATTACTGGTGGTGTATATGCCAAGGGAAGTGACTGCTTCAATCATATGATTATTGTAAAAACTTAAAACAATATTACAGGGTCATATGGTCAAAAATATGTATTTCTGGTATGGGTTGCAAAATTCTGTGAATTTTCAAAGATGGAAACTTTCCATGTAAAATGTATGGAAATCCACAGGAATATGATTTGATTACATTACAATTTATTATTCCCAGTTTTTTTCCAGTATAGAATATCACCAAAATTCCCCAGATAAATTTAACACGGAAATGTATCAAAAACTTTCAGGAAATGTATCAGAAATGTTCCACCCCTTACAACTCTAATTCCTATCAACATGAATCACAATTGAATGGATGCCTTCACTTCCGTGTCTATGAAAACATCTTTAACTGCATAAAAGACATATGTGACATCACTTTGTAAAGTCTGGACGCCTGGAATAGAATAAGATACAAGATAAAATTCTTGTTAATTCTAACAAGAACGTTGCCTTATTTCAAATTACATTCTATCACTGTTAAAGCCAATAGGATCACATGGCAGAGCAATTAAGATGCAGGGAAGATAGCACAGCCCCAGCTCATAATATGCACCCCACCCCCACCCCCTCACCTACTTCCTTCTCCTTCATTCTCTGGAGAAAAGCTGCGGCTAAAAATAGCTTCAACTTAACAAAAAAAGAGACGCTTATTTTATACCATGGCAGCTATTTCTTAACAAGCTCTGTTTCTATTTTTATCTCCTCGTGTATTCCCAGCTGGCGAGCCCGAGTTGAAGCTTCATATGAATGTATGGCCCTCCCCCTGGAACTGGGAAGTGTTTGATGGTCCGCATTAGAAAGACTGAGGTCTAAAGGACAGCAGAACACAGAGAATAGTTGTTTTTGCCATGTCTTTTTGAATAAATGATGTATGTAAATGATCATAGCTATAGTATCGCAATATGTCCGTGCAAACTCCAAGGAACGTCGATAGATTGTGAGCCAAGATTGTGTACTCAAAGATAACAAATGCTGTATAGAGCTCATATTGAAAACATAATCTTTTCAAACATATATTGTCTTACATAAGTTAAATCTGGGGTAGGACACTTTTAAACCACCAAGTAGTTTTGAGTACAGCAACAATTGAGTCCTGAATGATCTTGGTTTTATTCTGCTTTAGAAGTATTCCAGACCAATTGTGTTAATTCAGATTAGCTTGATGATGATTTGTAGAAATATCAAAAGTGTTAAAAGCAGAGACATGTCCTGTTCTTATCTGGCTCTTTAGAAAAACAAATTGAACAAGTAACAGTTGTCGTTGCTCTTTGTTGCAGCTGCCATTGGACTTCCAGGAGCGCCTCAGTTCCCACATTGAGAAACACAGCAGTGGCAGTGCGTCCATTGTGTGTCACTCCGGTTACTCCGACGCAGTCCCAACATCTCTGATCGCACAGGTCCTGGAAAAGCCGGAGCCGGGCAGCAGCTGTCCCGTGAGCCGATCGTCCAGTCCACAGAGAGACGGAGACTTCCTGAGCGGAACTGGTAGCAATGACCAGCTCAACCGGCGCGTTGCCTACAAATCCTCAGACCTGTACTGCAGCGACACCGCACTCTACTGCCCCGAGCGCTGGCAAGACACAGAACGCAGGCAAAGCGTAGACCTCCACGGGCCAGGCATCCTCCAGCTACACACTCAAAACTCCACCGACAGCAACCCAGAGGAGGCCTACCACTCTGGAAGCTTCTCCCCTCAAGAGGCACCTTCCTCCTTCCACCACCATGACGAGTTTGCCCCAGGCAGTCTTCCGATGTCCAGCTCCTACTCCAGCTTCAGCCTGGCCTCCGACGACAAAGGTGTTGGTGGTGGTGGAGGAGGCTGCCGTATAGCTAACAGCACCATGTCCTCCTCGCACCAGGGCCTTTACATGGATTGGAGAGATGGAGGAGACTATAAAAGTTTGACTCCGTATGAGAAAGACGGCTTCCCAAAGTCCCTCAGTATCCAGCACATGGCCATACCCAGGAGCCCGCAAAAAGCCACGTCACCTTCTTACACCAGAACGGCATCCTGCTTCAGTGAACCCTACCATGCCAGCAGCCCACGCCTGGCCTCCTCGCACAGCATGGGCTCCACCAGTGGGTTTGCTCAAGTGCACAGTGGCAGAGGGGACGTCCAACTCTCGGAAGACGACCTGACGAACCGTTGGCGTCAGCTGAGTGTTGAAGACGTCAATACCTTGTCTTCATCTTCCTACCGCGACCTGAGCGGGAGGGTTTCTCCGTACAGTTTCTCGGAACGTCACTTCGCCATGGGCCCTTCCAAGTCCAAGAACGTCTACAGCAGCTTCCAAGAAGGAGATGATGTCTTCCACAGCCGTGTTCTTGATCAATGTTTTGGCATAGGGCGACCTTCTCCCAATCACAGCCCCAAACCTATGGAACTTCGGAAGAAAGAGAAGGGATCGGTGATGTACAGCGGGGACTCCGACTGCGGTCTGTTCCTCTCAGGCAGCTCCAATGACAAAGAAGGAGGCAGGGTGACGTCAGCAGGTGGGAGTTCTAAGAAGGACTATGTGAATCTGAGCGGGGACAGCTCCGGCGAGTCCTTACATCAAAGCTCTCTCGAGGCTTCCAGTTTGCAGCACTATCCCAGCCCCAAGCCCGTCGTCAGGCCACGACCCAGCTCCAGCTCAGCCCTCACTGCTGGCCCCGCGCTCCCCAAGAAGACCTCCCCCAGATACCAAAAGTTCGGAAGCGCAGGACTGACCCGGAAAGACAGTCTGACAAAGGCACAACTGTATGGAACTTTGCTAAACTGATCTGCAAACATTTAATGCATGATGATTTCTAGTTACCGTACTGTATGTATTTAAAGCAGGGGTGCCCAGACTATTTACACCAAAGGCTGCTAAAGGAAACAAGATAATTCAAATAGGAGTATCTCAGATTACATAACATAACATTGCTAGTTTCCAACACTGAACTGCATTTTTAACTGCATTTTCAGTAAACGCTGCTGTATGCGGACCGCTTTGTTGTTTACACGACTGGGTGGATGCTATGGAAGCCCTTAGGGACCCGTCAGTGATGAATGAGTAAATGCTAATATGCAAATCGTTTAAAAGATAAAACTCCATTAGTCTAATTATTGTCCAGCCCTATTTTAGACTGTTTACCACCACCAACAAAAACATATTCAAATGGGCCATGGCCACTTTTATAAATAGCCAGGGCCAGGCCAAGTGGTGGAGGCAGAGGGGCTGGAGACGGGGGGGCTGCTGTTTGAGGACCCCTGAGGGTTAGCATTGTCTATCTACATACAGTCTATGATTAGGAGTTAGCCTGTTCAGCATGTTTTGCAGGGCCACACATACGAGGTCATAGTTTGGTCACCCCTGTTGAAAAGGCACCATACTTACCTGTTATTGGGTACATGTTTTATGTAACTTAGCCAAGGCACGTTTTACAGACATTAACACTTTTCTAGAATGTGTCATCAATCGGTGTAGCTCTGTGAGAACAGCTGTGGGAGCACTGGGTCCCAGCACAGAACCTGCTTTCTCCACGGCATTTCTGCTCAAAGTATGTTGTACCAGCAAACAACCACTCACTCACTTTACATACACTACCTGTAATGTGTTTTATGAGAATCCTAATTACTACTAAATGGTGGAAGACTGACTGCCGATTTAATTATAAAACCACATACTATTATAAAAATGGAATTATTTGCAAACATTTAATGAGTTTCAAAGGCGGATCAGTCACATGGGTGGTCAGATATGGATTGATGTAGCCAGTCTATTTGCTGACTGACACCAATACGATTCAAAATGAAACAATGCCCACTAATTATATTGCACAAATTGTTAAAAAAAAAAAAAAAAAAATTACCACATGTATTTTTCAGGCATATAAAAGAATGTTGCATGTTTTGTTTTTGTAAAGATACAGTCACTTTTAGCCAGGGGTGGCTGATCAAATCACTTTCTAGGTGGGGTCTATTTCAGGTATTCTTTTTTTGTCATTTACGAATCTACAATCATATCTGCTGAACCGAAGCAATTCAGCCACATAAAGCTAAGGTTCAGGTAAACTGCTAAACATAAGCATAGAAAATGGTAAACAACATGCAAAATTGAAGATTATTTGTACATTGGGGCGATCTGAGATAAGCCTGTGTGTGTACTGTATGTGTGGAAGGCGGGACTTACACCTGTCAATCCCAACAGAATGTGTGAGACTCAGATTCAGATTTAGTTTTTTTTTCCATTTGCAGTAAAACCACATTGGAATACAAGTGCAAAAGTACCCCATTGTGCCACAGACACGGACATAAATAGAACAAGCTAAAAGATGAATACAAATACAACAGTTGAATCATTACAATAATCTACTATTTATGTTTCCACAAAATTAATTTAACCCACCTAGCCCATTGATACCAGCCACCCCTGCATGTAGCCCACTATAGACCCCTATAGTCTGTATTAAACAACCTCAAAAAGGTCAAAATGATCGTGTGCACAGGTGTCCCCAAAAGTCAGTGATGCCGTTTTTAGCACCGGCACCAATATAACCACCATTTCTAAAGGATTACACCAGTGTCTGCCAATCATGAGACCCGGCATGCTCATAGTAGATTATGGACAAGGCCACCTCAGGGCGCTCATAGGATATTAGGCGCCAATCATAGACAGTGTATTAGAATGTGTCCCCGGGATAAGGCTATGTATCATCTGCTCTGTATAGTGTGAAGGACAGTAGTGGTTTTAGCTAAATTGCACACATGGTTGAGAGCTGACCTTGTGTTCCTCGTACAGACAGCTGTCAAACTGCCTTACCCCTGTGCAGACTGGTCTTACCCCTGTGCAGACTGGTCTCCTTCAGCCGCTGTGTACATATGTATAGTTGTTCTGTGTTCATCCCGTTCTCCTCATTATTGCACCACACAGACCACTCTGGGAGTTTGAGCACAAAACTACTTAAGCCAACGACAAAGATCACTTTGCACAGAGTAAATCCTGTCCTCCAGCTTGGAACTGCAGTCACACCCCAACAAAAGTATGGACAATTATTGCATTTTTTTTTCACGTTATTTTGATCAATTGAGACCAGAGGCACCAAACAACATCTCAAGGCACAGCACACAGGTTGAAACACACTGTTCCAATGAGACCACTGTGTGAAGAAGCTTTTACTGCTTGAATGATGTATTTAGGTGGATTAAGCTGTCCTTACTTCTGCATGAGGGAAGAAGAGTACACTGTAAAGAGCTTGACAGTTTCCAGTTCATCCAGTATGAAGGTGTGTGTGGTCAGAGGTCGGACTGGAGAGAAATCACTGGGAAGACCTCTTGAGATTAATAGTTTAAGCAAAATCATGTATTGGTTCTTAATTAGGTCCAGTATTCTCTTGCGTGTTGTCGACAGAGGCCATCAGTGGTTGATCTTTGTATCATGATAAGTAACAAAAAAGTATACACTTAAAATCCTTGATAAATGTTTTACCTACTTGGCCCGACTCTACTCCTCTCTAATCTACCATGTCCATTACACTTCACTTACAATCTGGAAGCGTATCCTAGCAACCTGCCCACAACAAACCGGAGATCTGAGGAAATTCCTTGGCAAACATGGCTTCCTCTGGCCAATCATTGTCAGTTAGAACACTTCAGTTTCTTGTATTTCTGTCTTGTATTTCGTCCTGCTGCACGCTAACTCTTGCCTTATCGCCAAATATAAACTGTCCCTTAGACTAACAAACTAATTTGAGGAAAGGAAAAAGCAACAATATGTGAATATTTACTAGGAGAGAAGAGGAAATGAGGAGAGAGGAGCAGAAGAGAGGAGACAGGAGCTGAGCTGCGAAGAGGAGAGGAAAGAAGAGGAGATGAGAGGAGCATAGAAGAGGAGACAAGAGCCGTAAAGAGGAGAGGAGAGAGGAGCAGAGAAGAGGAGTGAGAGGTGTGAGGGGCAGAAGAGAGGCGTGAAGAGGAAAGGAGAGGCGCAGAGAAGAGGAGCAGCAGCAAAGAAGAGAGGAGAGAAGAGGAGCAGAGAGGAGACAGGAGCATCGGAGAGGAGAGAGGAACAGAGAAGAGGAGATGAGGAGACAGAAGCATAGAAGAGGAGAGGAGAGGAGAGAGGAACAGAGGAGAGGAGAGAGGAACAGAGGAGAGGAGAGGAGAGAGGAACAGAGGAGAGGAGAGGAGAGAGGAACAGAGGAGAGGAGATGAGGAGACAGAAGCATAGAAGAGGAGAGGAGAGGAGAGAGGAACAGAGGAGAGGAGAGAGGAACAGAGGAGAGGAGAGGAGAGAGGAACAGAGGAGAGGAGAGGAGAGAGGAACAGAGGAGAGGAGAGAGGAACAGAGGAGAGGAGATGAGACAGAAGCATAGAAGAGGAGAGGAGAGGAGAGAGGAACAGAGGAGAGGAGAGAGGAACAGAGGAGAGGAGAGGAGAGAGGAACAGAGGAGAGGAGAGAGGAACAGAGGAGAGGAGAGGAGAGCCGGTGGTAACAGGGCTAAAGTGAATGCAATCTGCAGTACCAGGTCCACAATATGTATGTAACATTATCTCCCTTTTAAAGAAGAGTAGTATGAAAGTGCGGGTGCCATGTTCATTCGAATGAGACTTGCCTGAAGCTGGTCTTTCCTGTCGCCACGTTCTGTCTGGTTAACCTTGTATCCGCGGGGATCGGTGACAGAAGCACTTCTACCTCTGCCATCCGTGCAGATCTGGCAACGCACCTCGAGGCTGTTTGAGATTTCCCAAACACATCTGCTCGCTCCACGACTTTGACAACGTTTCCAAAAGTTTGAAGTCCCTCTACGACTCTCAGAAGTGTATAGTTGTGCGAGAGGTTTATATTTCCTTTGTATTTAGCCATACATACTCCCGTTTGCATTCATGTCGTAATAATCAAAGTGAAGACCTGATTGAAGACAGTGAGGTCATGTGTTCTGTCCTACCTCTGCCCAGGAACAGCCTGTCTACTATATGTCCACGTCGGCAACTGTCTGATGCATGGTTATATATATTTTGCACAGTTTATTTACCGAATAAAGATGGGTATGGGGAAAATCACATGTGTCATTGTATTTTTATGTCTTGTAATTTTGCACTATTACCGAAAATAGTGTAATTTTGGGGGGAAGTGGCGCCACCTGCTGGTCTGACTCTCACAGACCCTTGTAATTCGCTGAGCTTCACACAAGGGTCTGGGATTTCTGAATAGGAGATGTATTTCGGCAGGCGGGCCATGTAAAAAAATCATTGTATGTGATTGGATAAACCACGTGCTACTTCAGCCACTCACATCAAAGCACACGACTGGAAAAAAATCTGATTTCTGAACATTGTAAAGCGCTTAGGGTGACCTTGGTCTATAGAATGCGCTATATAAATAAACATTACTTACTTCCTTACGACTCAGCACACGACTCCTCGCTGCGTAGTGTGGATTGACAGGAACAGTTCACTACATAACCCAAATTTTATATGAAAATGTTTTTCTTAAAATATCACATGGAATATTGCCCTCGTTCCCAGACCCTTGTGGGAAGCTCAGCGAAACGCCTCTGGTGGAGAATTGTGGAACTACAAGGGTCTGGTGAGAGCATAGACTGTAAATATTAACAGACGTAGTCACGATATCTCCGCCACTCTAACTAAAGTGCCACAACTTCCGCGGTCTATGGGCAGTTTCAAAATGGCCTCGGGGGCTGGAAAATGTGAAAAAACGCATCTGCGCATGCGTCCCATTTATTTAACGAGTGTCTTCAAAAATTCACAGCGACTAAACTGGTCCAAAAAAATTCACCCCCCTCAGCATTGACACACATGTGGAACGGAGCTTTGGGCCAAGAGCCAACTTTTGGACCATCCTGTAAAGACGTTTTTGAGAGGTCTGCTAATGCTATATGTTAGCATTGAATAATTCTCATTCTGGGTCCAACCCCATCGGCCCGGGGTGGTATTGCAAGCATGTCAGCGCACGTCATTTTGGCCACTTTTGAGCCGGGACCCGCCCCCACTGGGTGTCAGGTTAGCCACCTGCATGCTCAAACCAGATCCGGTAAGACATCTAAAGCTAAGCATGGCTAATGGCACATACTGGTTGCATCTCTTCTGTCAGTGTGCCCCAGGGCAGCTGTGGCTACAGTAGCAGTTCATGACCACAGTGTATGGAGTGAATGAATAATGACATGTGAAGCATCTTTGAGTCCTGAAAAGCGCAAAATAAAACAATATACACTATTGATGCATTTAGTATACTTCCTTTATCATAAAAAATATGAAAATATTCTTTAACACACACACACACACACACACACAGACACATATACACATATCTATATATAAAACCTACAAACAAAATTCAAACAGCACTGCTCTAGCTCACCAGAAAGGTTTCACTGTACATATTTTTAACACTCCTATTCTCTTGACCGTTTGAATGAGCCTGAAATCAAGATTGATTATAATAATTGCTTTCTTTACAAAACAACTCTAAAGGTGCTTACAGAGTAAAATGTAAGAAAGTTGTAGTCAGCAAGAAAACAAAAAGTTCCATCTTTTATGAGACATTTTTAAAAATCCAACTGACTGTATCTTTGCTTTTATCTTCCACAATCTGCTGAACGTCACTGTTTTTGAATCAATAAAAACGGTTGAAAGGCCCCGGCGGCACGACTCCACGCGGCGAAGACGTTCTGAGTTCTGGGGGACGACTGCAGAAGAAGAAGTGGCGAACAGTGACAGACGCGGTGATGATTGTGTGAAAGGAAACGTCACATCAGAGACAGAGAGGGGGAAGAACAAAAAACACACGCACAAAGTGATGTGTTTGCAGAACGGCCAACGGGAAAGATAAGAAAACGCTGAGAGATTTTCTGCTTTGGTTCAGGATAAGAATGAGGGGCAAAAACAAAAAATGCAGAGATGAAAGGGGCATTGATGTAGCCAAAAAGCCATTATGGCGAATGTGCAGCGTGGACAAACAGGCGGATGGTGATTGGTCGATAATGTCATTTTCCCAGCTCTAATAAACTGCCTCAGCTAAATCCACATGGTGTAATTGTGATGATTGATCTCTGCTGCCCACCGAAAATATGACTAAATATAAAATAAATCTGCAAACCTGTAAACTTGTATTAACCCTCTGATGTTGACTCTTTGAAGAAAGCAGTGTGTTTTTTCTTTTCTAAGACTTAGGAGCACTAATAACACATTTTTTTGATCATTGGCTTATACCAAATGGTTGAGATGCAGTTTGATAATTAAAGTGCCTAAAGCTCAAGTGATAGAGATGCCCCAAAGAGGTAAAGTTCAGCTTCAAGTACAGTAGATATCATGACTCAAAAAGTGATTGAGGAAACCATTAAAAGGGATAAGATGTTAGGTTGATGACCCCGAAAGTAAAAAATGATGATTTCAAAATGTAATCGAAACAGGTAGTCGCTGAGGTTACCAGAAATTATAAAAAACAAGAATGATGCTATTGTTTTTTCATCCATCCATTTTTTTCCCCTTAATCCATTTCTGGTTTAGGGGGGTAGCAGTCAGAGCTCCTCCAAACAGGACAGGACAGCAAGAAGGTCCTGTGCAGAGTTGGCATAGGTTTCCTGCGGGTGCTCCAGGTTTATCCTATGACTAAAAACATGCGCAAATGTTCAGGGTGAATGCGTGTGACTGTGGAACAATGGATAAAGTTTATATAAATAAGCCTTTTTTTCTTTTATTACCAATAACAAAAGATACATACACCTACACAAAAATCCATCACCAAATGTTTACTCCAGGGGTCACCAACCTGTAGCTCGCCACCCCCTTCCAAGCAGCTCGCCAAAGGATTTAGAAATGAACAAATCAAATAATATACTTAATATACTGACAGTGCCCAATAATCAGGCTTTTTATTGGATACTGTCATTGGTCCATAACGGGGCAGATGACCAGCGGAAATGTCAATGTCAAGGTCAACGTGAATGTAAATAAATGTGCTGGATCATCGCCACTGTCCTTGGACCCTACGTTCACACCCAGACCTTGATCTCCCCGTCCCAGGAGCAGGTGGCTGTGGTGCTGGGCAGGACGGGGTGGGGGGCCACACTGACGCAGGCCTGGCCGTGGGCTCGTAGCACGTGCACCGTCTGTCCACTGTGGAAGTCGAAGAAATAAGCCGATCCTCCGGCGCTGCCCGAGGCCAGGAGGGCGCCGTCTGCGGAGAAGGCACACTGCACGGCAAAACCCTCCACCTGAAACACAAGCACCGGTCACACACACAGCCATTTCTTTAGTAAAATATCTCATTGTGACGTTTTCAGACCAAACAGTATGAGGCGATTTTTTGATATCCTGTATGTTTAAGAAGTGAGTAGAAACATGAAATTGAAGCGAGATCTTTCTGGGCCGCACCACACACATTTTTAAAGAAAATCCATTTTGTCCACAAATAGGCCGCACTTGAAGACAAGCCGCAGATATTCATGAAGCAGATAGACAACTGTTTTAACTGGCTACAACACAATTAAATGATGAGGTGTTAAACTGTTAGATTCATGTCTATTTTGATATAAACATGTGTTCTATAGCTACTAAAAATGTCAAAATCCTAAGTCCATAAGCCCAGCTCTGAAAACTATCACGATAAAAAAACATACATTAGCCGCATCGATATGTAAGCGGCAAGATTCTGGTGCACACTGGGGTAGTCTTGCACAGTTTTTCCAATGTGGTTTTACTGCAAATGGCAAATAAATGAATCTGAATCTGATCTGATCTGATTCAAAGAACTAAAAAGAAGTTGCGGCTTATAGTCCGGAAATTACTCATACGCAATTGGCTGTCACCTCATGAGTGAACCCTTTACAGGCTGTGCTGAGGACCCTAACGTGACCCTAATTGTATCTTGATTTCCGTAAAGATATAAAGAAACAGGTATGGCTGTCTTTTAACATCATAACTATTTGTTTGTTGATGTGTATCTGTTTTGGACCTAGAGTCTGTTATAAAGTTGGTGAATTGACAATCCCCACCTACTTCAAAAATAAAACTTTACCGATCTCACAATTTTATAGAGTTCTAACCTAGACTACCGCTTTTGCCAGAGAAAAAAATTTAGGATTAATTAAAAAATATTAAAGCTGGGGTATCTAACTTTGAAACCATAAAAATATCTATCTCTAGTTTCAGATTTTTTGAGGAAACAGAGAGGACCAGAGTATGTAAGCAAGACATATGTTATAATAAGACAGACAGCAGCAGTAGTGTAGTGCGTGTGGAGAATGAGAAGTGTTTTTTGTCCAGTTTCATGGACAGTCTGTGGGTGTCGGCCCCAGTTGCACCTTGTGTCCTTCGTATCTGCGCCTCTTGTTCATCCTATAGGGGCGCTGACAGGAGAACAAGGCCATGTAGTTTCCATTGGTCTGGGCCACAAAGGAGTCTTCCACAGGATGGAGAGCCAGGCTGGGGCAGGTGTAGCGCTCCTGAAAAGCATTTTTAACAGTATATTTATTGTATATTGAGGGAACTGTATGCACTAAGTGGACTAATACAATAAATACATTCACAATTTTGTTTGCAGAATCTTCTTGCCTGTGACACATGTAGCTTCCTAGCACTGATTACTGATGCAATCAACCTGCTGGAGTTTAGACAGAAACAGAACAAACTCCATATTACATGTGACTACCTATTATTATTTATATATGGTTTCATTTAAATATATCTGGTGCTAGTTTTTAAGTTTCTGAAGTTTGCTTTCATGTGTTTGATTTAGCCACATTAGCTTGAGATAGCCTCATGAGAATGAGTTAACAACTTTAGCAATAATTAGCCAAATTTGCAATGTTGTCCCAGATTACTAGCATGACTTAGCCTCTTAAGCAATATTTAGATACATTTGTAAAAGTATACGACTAGCAATAATTACCTGGGTCTCTACAGCAGTACATTGCAGCTTGAACCAAAGCAAATTCTTCAAATAATCACAGCTAATCGATATCAATAATCACTTTGCTGTGATTATTCACGTGAGCTTATGGTGTGGCTCCAAGTGTGCACTGTTCTCACCTGGTAGATCTGGTTGGAAAGGCGGGCAGTGGTGGCGTAGTCCCAGGCAATCAGAGTCCGATCGGCAGAGTCCCGGCTCACACAGTCACTGCTGCTGACCAGCTCCTGTCCTCCTCGCAGAAACAGCACGTCCAGAGCCTGCTGTACGGCCGCCTTGTACTCCCTCACCACCTGACCACACACACAGACACATGCATCACACTACTGTACGACACACATGCAGGTTTGAGTTCATTTTTACAGCTACAGTACATCATCCATGTCTACATTATCCAGGACTTAAGTATGTTGTTTAGTGATTGCACTTTTTAATATAGCACTGAGGCCCTCACAGAACACCTGTAATTATACTGGGAGTACATACACATACCATCTATTTAATGGTTAGGGCAAGACGTGGGAAACATTCTCATAGTGAGTAGTGGGAGAGAGTTGTAGGGTCAAAGAAATAGGATCGAACTCGTTGGCTCCCAAGCCTCAGTCCTCGTTCTACAGCCTGAGTCCTGGATCTATAGGCTGTACATCCGTGGATCCCTCTCTCAATGTGGGCCTGTGGGTTTTTGATTGATTTCTTACTAATGAAGGAGGGTCTAAGGACAGTGCTGATCCAGGACATTTTGCACATTTATGGCTCCTTGTCATTATTACATTTCCTGTGTTTAAACTGTTTGATTCGCTGGTCTGTGTTGGGGAATTGACAGCTTTGTAAAATCCACATAGAAAATAAAATAACATGAATAAAAAATAAATAATAAAGCTAGGGGAAAAAGAGGAAACACACAAAAACATCAGCTTAGCATTCATAATATACACTCCTCATACACAGAAAAGAAATCCATCCTTGTAAAAAGAATGATTGCAAGCGTTACTATAATACTATTCCCAGTGTAAGGCCCAAAATGTATGGAGATAGTGATGTCAAGTCGACTATTACCGGTTATAGAAGTAAAATATACAATTTTGAACTCTCAGCAGAACATTTTGACAGTTTAAAAAGACATTTCACCCATTCTAATCCTCCTAAAATCTCACTAAAACCACTAGATGTAAATGCACGAGTCAGAGCCCTGGCCGACATAAGACAAAACCACGATTTCTTCAATAGATTCAGCCTTCATCCATCACTGCCCTCCACTGTGAAGAAGCCACCCCGGAATCTCATTCCAGCTCACGGCTCAATACAGAACTGACCTCCTGCGCTTTAACCGGGTCACGGGGGGTCCTTTTATATCTACTGCTGGCAATTCCACCTCAACACCACCAACACGCATCCCCGCCTTTCAACTGACAGGTGCCACGACCCCAAACCTCGCTTTCTCTGCGCATTAAGTGGTCGTAGATTGACAGAAATACAGTTCAAAACAAGGTAAAAAAGAAAAATAAGAGAGAGACAGGGCGAGGATGGGATTACCATATAAAACAGTCTATTAGTTTAATGGCAATATTAGAGAGCAGCTTTTCCAGGATGAAATCAAAATGAGGTTTCAACAATTAGTGAGATAACCTGAGCAATTACACCGATGTATAAGCCGGTATTATCTAAAGTATGAAATTAAAGCTCGACAAAGTGGGCGTCTCTCTCAAAAGCCTTTTCATTGGAGTGGGAAATTATGTTTTATGATAATTCTGTCAACATTTCAGAGCACCAAAAGCAAGTGCGCGTTTCTGTGGTATTGTGAAGACAAGGGAGGCATGGAATGTTAGGACCAGTACTGCGGTAAAACTATTATGTATGGGATTTTTTTATCTTTAAATATTCCCCATTGAAATATCAGATTTTGCGTCTGCTGGCCTAATGTCTATATCTGTTCATACGTTTGGCTCAGGGAAAGGATTGTGGAGACCAACATAATAATTAATTAGTTTTTAAGATAAATGTTAAGAGATCCTTTATTCATCCCACAGTGGGGAAATTTCAGTGTTGCATCAACAGTTACAGAACAGTAGGAAATGAGGAGCATACAGCAAAACACAATAAACTATTTTTAAACATCTCTAACTGTGATGGTGCCACAGTATAGGGCTGTGGCTGTAAAGTACCAATAATGTGCCTAGAATCAGTCTAGTGTGTGTGTGAAAGGTTGGTAGTAGTGGGAAGGGCCAGTGGCACATACTGTCAGTGCATGGCCTTGCTTCTGTCAGTCTGGCCCAGGGCAGCTATGGCTACAGTAGCAGTTTATCACCACCGTGTATGGAGAGAAAGAATAATGAAGTAATGCGTCTTTGAGTGTCTAAATAGGCTCAAAATAAAACTGATGCATTATTATTATTATTCAATTGTCTTGCCTAAGGACACAGCAATAGTTTGGCACTTTACGGCCGCAGCCGCCCCACTGTGGCACTCGATGTTCCCAGAGGTCAAACCCAACGACCCCAGTGTGGACCATCTCTTGCCCTGACAGTGGCCCCGGCTGCTGGGGGTAAGCAGTCTGACCTTAGCACTGCGAGTGTCCCAGGCCTTCAGCGCTGGACCGTAGCCTCCGCACAGCACCACCTCTGGCTGCGATGGGTGCACCGCCACACACGTCACCCGGAACTGAGCGTCCAGCTTCACAACGGGACGAGCTGTGGGGACAAGAGGAGTTTGACCACAGTTCCGTCTGAGCGGAACAAAAACAAACTATTCTGCATTCTCAAGAAACGGTTGGTTTTGGAAAACAGATTACAAATGTATCATGACATTTATGAACATCTATGAACATTGGTCCTCCCTCTTCTCTTTGAACCCAGGGTGTTTTACTTAGATCCAGAAGGTGAGTACACAAGAAACACAACTCAAGAAGCTATGCGAGGAATTGATTAATTGGTTCAATGTTGGGGGTAATCCCAATCCCTGTCTGGATGCAGTGATTCTCTATAGATTATTATTGGATTTTCTGTGTTGTAATTGTTTGATTTTATAGTCTGCTGTAGCCCAATTTGGTATCAATATTGTAAACAAAAATACATTGAATTGAAGTGAATTGATAAGATTACGTTTAAAAGCAAACTTAATTTTGGTGGTCATGCCATTACCGAGCCATTACCGAGTCAAAAATGTTTGTTTTAGAAACCAAGGACAGTCGTGAGTTCAGGTGCTCAGAAAAGTGTATAAAGTGTGTGGTGAGGGGTTTTACAGCCTTAAAACATATAGCTGGGTATTTGTTAGAATCTGACCCCTGAGCAAACTGTTTTCTATAAATAAAACAGTTTGTTTGTCCCACGACGTTTTGTGACAGGTTGTGAACAAACCTGATGCAAGCAGAGTCCTGTGAGTCCAGTGTACACACATTTCTGAGAAAACACACATACACATACATGTTGTCTAGTATTGTATGAATACTTATATCTGAACACAAACATATTGTGTAACGTGGTTGAAAGAGGAGAATTAGTGTGCAATTAAAAACTGTTCTTAAGCACAGAGCTAATCCCATACAAAACACAGGGCTCATTAAAAACCTAATCAGAAGTATTAAAGATATTCATGAAATCATCCTTAAAATAAATGCCAAAACATATCTGCAAGTTTTAATCCTCAGACCCTTTAACTGCAGTTAAATGGCTGCACTATCAACAGAAGCCAAGAGGAGAAAACATATTAGTAGGAATAAATGTGTGTTTTAATTTGAGTAAACCATAAAATCAATAGTAACTGCTCTCCTAGCTGCAAAAGTAAAAGCTCAAAATATATGGCAACTTTGCTTGAATGTCAACAGAAAACAAGAATATGGGATCAAATAATGTGGCTTAAGTGTGTGTATTATCTGTGTGTATGAAAGGTTGATCTATGGGGGGTCAAAGAGAGGGCACACACCGAAATATTGTATTATGTACATCATCTTTTTATTCTTTTATATTTTTTTTCAGATGGCACAGTACATGTTAATGAACACACCACTCCAGATTGTAGCCATGGGCTAATTTTCATCCGTTGTCCCAAATTTGCACTCACAAACACACACTCATTCACCCTGAACTATTGCACATGCATTTAGTAGTAGGGGAAACCGGAGTACCCGGAGGAAACCTACGCAGACACGAGGAGAACATGCAAATTCCACTCAGAAAGGCCCTGTTCCGACCGAAATTCGAACCCAGAACCTTCTTGCTGAGAGTTTAATCCACTCAGCCACCGTGCCGCCCATAAATGTATGCCATAACAACCAAGTCTGTTTTTGATAAAGAGAACAAAAGCTTAAAGAAGATGATTTAACATGTCTCCTTCAAAGCGCCAAAATGGTTTGGAATAATATACATCGTTTCACATGAAAAACATGCAAAGTACTTGTTGTCTGGAATCCATGGGCACACAAAAACACACACACGCGCAAACACACATTCATTCATCTATTTTAATTAAAATATGGCCCAGACTTGCAGTGAAGCAGGAAGCTAGATCTATGCAAGAATTTTGGATAGACTCAAAAACCGGCCTTCTGAAACTTTGAGAGAAGTGGAAGTGGTGCCTGAGTACGAAACAAGTGCAGTTTGTTATCAGCCACTTCCCACTTTGGGCTAAGGACACGCTCGTTGTTAATTGTTGAATTAATTAAGCGAAGACCCCGAGGTGCTTTACTTTGACTCTTTTCTCCCTTGCCTTTTCATCTTTTCCCTGGGAAGTCGTTTTTGGTCTCGCTCTGTCAGGCATAATTATTGTGAAGGCTGTGAGTGGTTTTGTTTTGTTATGGAGCTGGATGACAGTTCCATTTGATTTTTGATAAAGACGCCTCCGGCCAAGCGCTTGCGAAAATCTTTTGATGTGTCAGATAATCGTAGACATGTCAGGAGAGGAGGGGAGAAGGGGCACGCATTAATGGATGAAAAATAGAAAAAAATGGATGTGAAATATGGCTTGCACTTGATATATGATTGAGAAAAAGTTAGTGACAGGTTTGAGAGAGTGGGTTTTTGAGAATTTTTAAAGATATAAAGAATGGGCACAATATTGTTGCATGTCAGTGCTGATAGTTTGAGTTTGTTTGTGTAGTCATGAAAGTCTAAATTCCCTTTGTTCCACACCGGGAGCTGATCTAGTCTTAAGGACCAAACAACAGTGAAATCACACTTATTCATATTGTCCACGTCTGCTCTCCTCTTTGAGCAGCCTTATGTAGTGAAACTTTCTGAGTGATCACAGACAGATGAAACAAACACTTTGATGTCATGTTTTTGGACTAAAGATTCCCCTAAACCTCCACCAGGGCGTAGGGGCTGTTTTGCACTTTTAAGGTGATAGGAGTCGATACCTATTGAATGCTTGAATGTGTGGTACTAAAGCATGTAACACCTTCACAAAGCTCTTAGGAATACACCCATATTGTGCATTTTGAACCATTTTAAATTAACCAAAGAATTCACCACAAAGGAATAATTTATCAACAAAAAGATTCTGTATATCAGTTTCCCTTTGGTACAGTTTTGGTTCAATCCAGCCATAAATGAACTAAGTTTGTTCAGAGAAAAAACATTCAATAAAGGATACCCAAACCCACAAAAAAATGTTAAGTTTTGTTCTATATAATAATAATTCTCTCACGGTGATGACGTAAGCGAGACGCCGAACACACTGGTGCATCAAAGCCCCCCAAAAAGTGGCAATCAAGAAACAGTGTCAATAGTAGTGCAGGTTTTTTTCAGTCCTAAAGCAAGTGACTTAAAGTGACTTATTGTACAGTCTGACAGCGATGGGGATAAGGGCCCTGCAGGGTGGGTGGTCATACAAAGTCAAGACTGAGCCAGACTCAGGTCCTGCTGAGTCCGGAGACGGTTGTAACAGGTGCCACATCACTTCACTCTCATTGCCTCGTGTTGTCTCCTGGTGTGAGTGTTAGTGTGTGTATGTGTGTGTGTAAGTGTATGTGTGAGTGTGTGTGTGTGTAAGTGTATGTGTTCATTTTGTGCTTTTGACTTTTTACTGCTTTGTTTCTGTTAATGCTGATTCAAGCAATATCAGTTTCTTATTCAAAGACAGCTAGTGGTTGAGTCGCAAAAATGACGAGTTGACATGTTTCCGCTGCATTGGTGATACCCGCATTGGGGATAAAAATCAATAGAATGAAAATAACACTGGGTAACAAAAACATATTTTTTGAAAATAGTCCAGGGTTTTCCAGCTGAATTAGACTAATTTTGATGCTCTGAGTCCGAAAATGACCTTGGTTTTGCTCAATCAGGTCAGGATTTTTTGCTACAGAAATATTTGTTTACATCGATTTTGCGTAAAAAACAAATTTCTGCGGATCATCAGCTGAGAAACCCTTGACGTTTTTTCCGTTTTCCTCAAGAAATAAAAGTCAACGTATCCAAAGTCATTCAGTTTTTATTTACTCCATCAAATTTGATAAGCAGAATTCATAATAACGTAGACGTACATAATCCGTAACACTATGGCTGTATCTCAAAAAGTTGACCTGATAGAGCAAAATGCATGTGATATTCGGACTCAGAACACCAAAATAGTCTAAATCAGTTGAGAAACCCCTGACCATTTTTTGGCTGTCAACTTGTGTAATCAATTTTTAGATGTGTGGATAAATAATTTGGGATTGAGCCATTTTTTATTGAGAATAAAAAACAAATATTGATTTTGTTTTTTATATTTAAACTTAATCTTCAAAAAATGTTCTTCAAAGTTGTGGAAGCAAACAGTTCAAACACAGGGAATTCAAGGATAATGAACACACAGGAGCCATTAGTCCTTAAAGGGCAGATGACCAACATCCATAAATGTTGTTAAATGTCTTGGATCATCACCTCTATATACACAAACAAGTTCCACACGGTTGGTTGACATGCAGCCTTATCCAAAGTCTTACTCTTCCATGGATATTTGCCACTTTTCTAACTCTCTCTAAAGCATCTCTGTACAATGGGATGAGCGCTGCCCCACTGTGGCTCATTATTTCACTGCATGTTGACGTAGCCGGGAGCGTTTTTCGACTCAAAAGGCTGTAAAAGTTAATCTTACGTATGTCTGCAGTTCCAGTGTGTTGGTGAGCCGCTCTCAGAGACACCGCACAAGGGGAAAGCACAAGGACGGCTTTGTCTCTCTGCCTCAGGACACAACAAGTATGTCACAATAACGCATTCTGCTGTCTCGCTGCCGTGTCGCCTTTAAGATGTGCCGACTGTGTCTTCAATCAGAACCACCCAGTCCTCAATGGTCATGTTCCCGCAGAAACGGTAGCTCAAATTGACTTCAAAGTTGGGGGTGGGGACCTAAGGGAGGCGCGAGATGATTAGAAGATCCAATTCTAAAAGCTTTTCATTATATTTGTATGTTATTGCACACAACACTAATAAAATATGAAGTGAAATGAGGAGTATAGCACAATGAATGACTCAAATAGACACAAATTTGATCCAATGATTCTTCATTTTACAATGTATTTAAATTTCAATCCGCAGTGAATGGGGCTTTGAATCGAGTGGTGCTGAATTGTGGGTCGTATAACTCACATAAACTGCAGTAGTTTATTGATTTATTTATTTAATATGGACATAACAATAACATAGGATGAACTAGATGCATTGCTGTAAGTGTCCTAAGCTGTAATGTGCTACTTTTTAACACTAGTCCACAC